TAATTAAAACATTTTTGAAACGTCATAGTTATGTACTTATATGGAGTCGATGTTACCATTTCCATCCGATGGATCTGATGAAATCGAACTAATAAAATTCGGAAAGAGAAAACGAAAATAATTGGACACGAGTATTTAGGTAAAATGTCGATCGTTTAAAGTGGATGCAATGGTTGCGACCGCATTCCATGTATGCATTAGTCAACGAGTTCCAATTACGCATTTTCGTATGTAATTATGAGATGTGTTTACAATCACCAATTGCTGCCATCAACAGTTAGATCCGTTCCATTCTACCCCGGTGAATGATTCAGGGAATTTTGTTCTGAGAGCAAATGTTTTAGAACAGTCGACTTTGGGTTCTGTTTTTATTTTGTTTATTTTAGTCTAGATTTGGGAAGGCGATTAGGCGTCGCCTGAAAATGTGTTTGGTCATGCTGGTTTTTATGAATACCGCATAACATTCGTGTTGCACGCAGCGGATATATCGGATAATTGCCGTAGGTGAAATGAGAAGCATAGCAGACAAAAAAACGACAACACATAAGTACAAAATGGAAACATGCTGCCTAGAACACTGTGATAGAACAAACAATTGGCAGAGATAACATTTCAAAATTCAATTCTTTTATCAAAACATTTCGATTTCACATCAAAGTTGTTGAGAAATGCATTTTTCAACAACAACAACAACAAATGTATGGAAAGAGGAGAATAAAGAATGAAAAAAAAAATGAATAAGTGAATATTTGCGGTCGTTCTGCTGCTGCTGCTGCAGCAGAAAATACATTGTATCGAAAGCCAATGTATATTTGATTTTGGGTTTTCATGAATCCGCCGGAGCGTATTAAAACCAATCAGCCTTACACGAAGTGCTTAAAAAAATTAAGTAATTAAATTCACACGGTAAATTTAGAGTATCCAAAGGAAATGGTATGGTAAGCAAACGATGGAGCGCGTGTCTGTATGTATATGTTGAAGAGCGGCCATGAAGAAAAAAATGAGGCACGATTAAGTGGGCTGATATATAACAGTGATGATGGGCGGTGTGAACGCTTAGGACGGCCCACATTTTTTGCTACTTTCTTGCTTCATAGATCCATGTATACCATGCACGATGGTAATAGATACTTGCGGTAGCGATATCCAAGTTTCAACACACACACACACACACTCATACCTACTATATACACAAAGCAATGCTTGATACAAAGTCAACGTAAATGGTTGGATGAAAAGCAGCAGCAGCAGCAGCAGCTATATATTCATATGAAACCATGATCTGGTGCGCTCAATTACTATTTAATTTTTCTGTTTATTATTTGGATACGAATATTGTAGATTGTCAGGTTGTGCCAGTAACGGCAAATGAGATAACAACAACAACTGAAAGCACCCGATATGATGACGATAATAACATTTGAGGACAGTTTTTTGACTCTTGTTGGTCGCATACACTTGCACAACGCAAATATTATCGCTAATCATTTGACAATTATTTAGTCAATCAATCGAAATGGCATATTCTAGATTTGAAGTGTATGAAATGTTCACTTCAATTCTTTAATCCAATAAAATCAATTATTTTCCACCAATTTTTTTTTTTCATTTGAAATGTTATGTAGTTTTTTCAATTTCTTTTTTCGTTTGATTTGTTTTTCAATCAATATCTCAATTCCCGCTAATATTTCTCTCAAAAGAATTGGTTGATTCTTGAAAATATTCTTAATTTTTTTTTTTCTAAATATTCCTTTTCTTCCAGAAAAATGGCTGTTTTTCACCATTTCCCAGAGTCTCATTATTTATAAAATTATGCAGTATGGCTTTTTTCAATATTCATTTCTATTCTACTATTCTTTACGATATGTTTTTCCCCTGTTTTATCGGAACAGATCACAAACCATTGAAATAAACACAGTTGAATCCGTCATCAGTTTGACTGCAATCGAAAAACGTTCAAATAGAAATGAAATTGTGTTGCGTCGCGTCACGATGCAAGAAAAATAATTAATTGAACCAAAAACACCATCATGGCAATGCCATCATGACATTGAATACGTTCAGCACGATGAACATTCCGAATTAATTGAAACTCCCACAGCATTACATTTTATCGGACAAGAGTTGTATGACAGGCTGTGAAAATAGCTTATTGTTGTCAGATTACCTTTCAAATCAAGCAATTTGGTCTACAAATCCAATGTATGTATCTGAAATTCACAAGAAAAATAAAAGAAATCTTTCCTCACGATTGATTTCATATAATCGAGAGATTGTCGTAAGAGTAAAAGCGAAACACGGAAACATGTTGAGCCGCGTTAATGTGATTTTAATCGTTATTGAATGCAGACCTACGACGCTGGTTCCAAATGAGTAGTCAAATAATTGGCGTGGATCAAAGTTGAGTCTCTTTTCGATTTAATTCCTTTACTTGAATATCCATATGAAAATAAAACGGCCATTCAATTGCTCAATATGCTAAAGTTTTTTTTATTTATTTATTTTTTTCCATTTTTAAAATGCTACATTTTCATAACAATCAGTGTGAAATATGTGATGCCTGTTGGTTGTTCTAATTGATGTCTTCTTTCAAGAAGAAAAAGCAATCCTCGTTTAGAACATTAAATGCATAAATCATAGGTAACGAAATATGTTCAATTTCACTTAATAAAAAGTTTGCGGGTGAATAGAAATAAATGTGTGCAAAAGTTCAACTGGTTCCAAAATGAGAAAAGTAAAAAAGGGGTTAACATTAAAGGGAAAAAAAGAAAGAGATAATCAAATATGATGAATTGATGCCAGTTTTTCATTCGCAAGAAGAGCAACACCGGTTGGTTTGTGTGTGTGTGTGTGTGTGTATGGTGTACTATTTTCTTTGGTAATTTTGTGCAATGAGTTCGTAGATGGTGCGAAGTGGACGTCCGCACATTCCTTCACCAAGATATGATTGATCCGATGTGTCTCCCATCACCGGTGCAATATCCAAATGTACCCATGGTGTATCTTTTGGCACGAATTCACGTAAAAATGCAGCTGCGGTGCATGAGCCACCACCCTTTCCCGATTTAGCAATATTATCCAAGTCATATGCACTAAAATCTGAATTGAGAAAAGGCAAATCGAGCAATTAGTTTGTTTTCTCTTGAAGACTCAACAAAAAAAAAAACAAGGAAAGGATACAAAAGAAACAGAAGAAATGAATTTTTACCAGTCATTTGTTTGGTGTAGTGTTTCAACAATGGCATACGCCAAAGACGATCACCGCTTGATTCGCTTGCTTTTTCCAGGTGTTGCCATAATTTGTCATTGTTTACGAAGGCACCGGTCAAACAGTCACCAAGTGCGACCGACATGGCTCCAGTCAATGTTGCAATATCAAGAATGAATTGTGGTTTGAAATCGGCAGCATAGTCCAATGCATCGATAAGTACAAGACGACCTTCGGCATCTGTGTTGTCAACGCAAATGGTCTTTCCGTTTCGTGATTTAAACACATCACCAGGCTTTGTTGCTCGGCCACCGGGCATATTTTCCGTCAACGGTATAAAACCTTTGACATAGACTTTAGCGCCAGTTTCAGCCAATGCATTGATCGTAGCCGCAACAATAGCACCACCCGACATATCAGCTCGCATTGCGTCCATTTTGGCCGATGGTTTTATGCTGATGCCACCACTGTCGAATGTAATACCTTTGCCCACCAAAGCGATTGGATTCTCTGCGCTATCGATACCGCGGTAGGTGAGCTCCAAGAATATAGGCGGTTGTGCACTGCCATTAGACACAGACAAAAACGAGCCCATCCCTTGCTGTTCGGCCCATTGTCGATCGTGTGCCACCACTTCGACGCCTTTTGCCATATTTTTCGCTACATTTTCAGCAAATAACGTGGGTGTCATATGATTTGCTGGCGTATTGGACAGTGTACGTGCCCAATTTTGACTGTTTGCAAGGACTTTACCAAAATTCCACTCATCTTTCTTTGATGAGTCCGACAACACTTGCAATTCCGGGATTTTTTTCTGCTTATCAGCAGCACGGAACTCCTGGTATATGTACGAAGCAAGATGTGCACCTTCGGCAGCACTTTGTGCTGACTCCAAGTCATCCAATTCAATGTTAAATATTTTATTTGCGGCCAATGCCTTCACACCGACTAAATGGGGGAAAGGAAAGGGAACAATTTCAGTGAATGCCTTAAATGTGATTCAGTTCGGTTTCGTTATGTCGATTTTAATTTCAATTACCACCAGCTGCAATGCGAACATTCTCTTTTTCGCCATCGATTTTTTCCAATGCATCCCAATCTTTAGCTCCATCGCCTAAGCCAACCACAGACACAGCCGTATAACCACCCAAGCCCCAGAATGTACGTTGAGAACCATTCGAAATTGGTCCAGCCCTGTAAAAATATAACAACAAAAAAAACGCATGTTTACTTTAGGCCGTTTTCAATGAAATAAGCTTAAACAAGGTGCGCTTTACTAGTGGAGACGGTCAATCGAATTGATGAAGAGAACAGATTCAAAACATGTTGCAACAATATCAATAGAGATTGTATTCAGACTAACATCAGCGCCAGAATGTACGGCAGTGGCAAAGACATCAATTAACAGTAATTCAACGAGAAGATTTCAGAATTGGGCAATTAATTTTGAAAAATAAATAGAAAGAGATGAGGAATTGTAATGATATAATAAATTGAAGATTAAATTTATTTCAATTTGATGTAAAGGGAAGAAAATTGGAGGAAATTTTACATAAAAGAATGAGAAAAAACAACAACGAAAAATCAAACTTCAATTTATAGTACAGTGTCAAAAGACTTGAAAGTCAAAATTGATAAAATAATACAAATATGAGCTAAAATAAAGAAAATCTAGAGAAAAAGAGTGCATTTCAGTTTGGATTACACATTAAATTGGTTTTGTGTTTTTATTAATTTCAACAATGAAATACATAGTTTGGCACATTTATGCATTTAGATTTGTTGTTTTCATATTTTTGTTGTCTCTTGTTTTTAGCTACAATTGGTTCTCGTCATTTTGTGTGGTTTGGCCAAAGTAGTCGAAAGCCTTCTACACAATTGAATACCATCGAGTTTGAAATAATATTGTGCGCACCAGAAGAAACATTTGTAATTTTAAAGCTCAAATAAATGTATGTATATATATATTTGGACCACTGAAAAAAGTGGCTGTGATTTGTAAATGATTTTTATTTCCGAGCAATGAAATCGCTCAACAATAATTTCTATGCATTTGTTTGATTTTTTCTTCTTTTTTAATCATAAAATGAATTAAATACTAGTGAACATTTTTTGTTTGTTTTCTTTTTATTCATTAAGTTTTTATTTCTTTCTCGAATTTATTTAAGTTGTTTGTCACTATTTGTTGGTTGTTCATTTTCGTCTCGAAATCCTAAGTCAATTGTCAATTGAATTTAAATTAAACGCGGTATCTAGTTGTGTCTAACATAATTTAAATACGTCTATTTAGTTTCATTTATCGCATGTTTCATTCCTATCCGGTTTCTTAGTTAAATTTGTTCATTTTTTTTTTCTTTCTCTTTGTAAATTTTCTCATAAAATATATATATATATTATATATAGTCATTTGAACCAAGTAAATAAACGATAAATAAACGTATCAAAAAAATTGTCTGTTTTTTTTCTCTCATAATTTTCATTCAACCAAAATATTCGTTTCTACAGATCATCGTTGGACATTTGAGAGCGGCGAAATTGTGGAAGATTTACAATGGATTTGTTGAAAATGCATTTTCAATTAAATCACACATCCATCACAAAATATAGGTATATGTGATGACGGAAACTTTTAATTGACTATATGAAATGGTATGATATATTTTTGAAGCTAGCGTGTGAAATGATTTGGAATAAAAAGAGATGAATTGAGAGGCAGAGAGACAGTGGACAGTGGCCACTTTCGTATTGTGAGAAAATGGCTAAAAATAGACGGTACCATTTGATAAATCTGTTTCACAATCGTTGACATTTATTTTACTCATGCATCGATGTGAAGAATTTCTCGGTGTGAAATAATAGAAATGAAATTCGAATGGAATTGAGCTGAGCGTGTTTTTAAATAGAAAATTGTACACTTTTGTCATCAGATTATTGAAATTGTCTTAGCAGACACTAGAATTGGTTATTCGAATTAGTTGGATTTGTATTGTTTATTTTTGCCCTCATTCTATCTAGGGTTGAATTAAGTATTAGCATTTTCTAGAGCCGGACATTTTCATTTTCTATTTGTAAGATAGATAGTTTTGATTTTACGAACAATTTTTTTCTGTTTGTCTCGTTTAGTTTTCAAATGAAATCACACATCATTATTTGCATTGTTCTCTCTTCTTTTGTTAACATAATAAATATTGTCTAATCTAAATACAGTTACTGGATAATATGATTTTATTATTGCCCACAAATTTCTGTTGGTTTTTAATCCACATTTCTAACATTGGCATCACTACTATCTTACGCTTCGTTTACGATAAATTTTAGTTTGTCGATTGTAGGTTTTGGTTTTGTTCATCTGTCATCGGACGAGAAAAAAAAAACTATTGTTGTTATCATCATCAGTCAGCAAACTCGAAAGTTTGTTTGGTATTTGGAATACACATGTTCTCTCAGCCCAGCGATTTAATGGTGATCCCATGGATTTTGGTTTCGAAACATGGAATTGAATGTCATCATGTCACATAATTTTTTGTTTGGATTTTTTTTTATTGTCCCAATTTCGCTTGGTTTCGTACAATGATGAAATCATAAATAAAAACGAGGTTTTATTCGACTTGAACTTTTCTCAAAATTTAACTGCAAATAATTCTTTTTTCCTCGCTTTTTTTTTTCTTTCCTTCCATTTCTTTTTTTTTTCGCTTCATATAAATTGAACAAATTTAAAGAGAAAAAAAAACGACAAATTTAAACGAGTTCCAGGACTTTGATTAGTCCTCGACTGTTAGCGGCCAATACAACATTGCACTGTTTTCGCCAGCAAACGGCTGACACAAATTCATTGACATCGTTGAAGCGATCGGTTTCGGAGGCGGTTCCGCTGATTCCACTACTGCCGACTGCATTCGAACTGATGCCACTGCTGCCACCACCACCACCACCGCCACTGCCTGCACCGACCGAACCGCGCACACTGCTGCTGATCATTCCGTTGCTATTCACATTACCCGTGCTACAGCTATCAATGCGGAAATTGAACAATGGCTTCGACAGCCCTTTATAGTAAATGTACAGTGCATTGTCTTCGCTACCACATGCAATATAATCACCATCCGTAGCCAAACCCACGAAATTCTTCTCGTTTACATGACCGACAAACGAACGCGAACAGTACGGCGGCTGATTGACATTCCATAATTTCAGTTGGCTATCAGTGCTGGCCGAAATGATTTCGTTGGTATTCAAAAATTTCACATATGAAACGGCCTTTTTGTGGCCCTTGAACACACACAGCGCCTTTGACATATTCCGTAAATCGTAGTAGTGAACATCATGATCGGCCGAACCGAAAGCCAAATGATATCGGCTCTTCGGATTGAATTTGACGCAGCACACATTTGCTTTGGCTTCGAGCGTTGCAATCGAACGTTCGTCTTGTGTTGACCATAGTTTGACACGTGCATCATCCGAACCGGATGCAATCAAACGGGCTTCAATATTATTGAAATCAACGCTCCAACAACGTTTCTCATGCTCGTTAAATGTTCTCGTTTGTGTGCCAGTTTGAACGTCCCACAGTGTGACAGCGCCCTCGTAATCGCTCGATGCCATCACATGTTTATAGTATGAATTCCATGTGATGCACGAAATCTTACTGTTCGATATCATTTCAACATTCGGATAGTGAATGTCAACGGTATCACGAACCACAGCCAAGTAGTCAAAGATTTTGATACGTCGTGTAACGCCACCGATGGCAAAAAATTCATTATCCTTATCGAACACAATGGTAGATACAATGGTGGAATTGTTGTGCAAATCGCTTGAATAATGCATGGTGGCCAACGGCCGAAGCGTATTGTATTTGGAAAATGACACTAAATTCTCACGGAATAAATCAAGGCTCGGGTTTTTGCGCTTTGTATTTGGATCGAGATCGAGTTTTTTGCCAAAACCACCACCGCTCTCATCCATTTTGACCTCATCTTTTGGACCGATCATCAGATCTTGATTTCGAATTATGAAATATGATGTGACAAAGTCATCGAAATGGGCGTACATTCGTCGCTTGCGTGATACGTATGTCTGCGATGTTGGTGCTGGTTTGAGGGTGTTGAAACCATCATCGCCACTCAGAACCGTTTCAAAGCTTTCGGTACGCGCTGCCGAGTCTTTGGACATTGAATTCGAATGGGGCAATGCTTCGCCTTCCGCTTCATTTTCCTCAGTGGCACTCGTTGTCATTGGCGTGTCTAGAAAATTAGTGGCAATCGCTGACGATACCGCTGCTACTGCTGTTGATGAGGCGGCTGGCATTGCAGCCGATGCAGCTGCCGCTGCTGTATCCATCGTCGTATTTTTCAGTAGAAATTCCACTTCGGCCAAATCTTTTTGAATTAAGTCAATCTCATTTTCGATTAGAGTCTTTTTCTTCTCCTTTAACTGCAGCAATTGCTTCAGAAAATCGTACAACAATCGATTTTGTGCGGTATTCGATTCGGCTTCGAGTAATTGTTTGCGCTGTTGCAAAATATCCATAATGATATTAACGTCAGGTAGCGTCAACTTTTGTGATTCAGATGTAAGGAAATTTTTTAGACCATCGCCGGCCGGTCCGAGTGCTTCTTCAACAACTGTAGCACCTCGGCTGGTTCGGCCGCCAATGATTTTGTCATGGATTTGCTTTTTAATCTTATATTTTGTAATCAGTTCGTCGAGCAGGTAATTCGGGAAGATATTTTCGCAGGTGGATAGTGTGTAGCTACATTTTGGGCAACGTTTGAATATTTCCACGGATTTGGTGATGCATCGAAAGCAGAATGTGTGGCCGCAACGTGTGATATGCGCCTCGATGATTAAATCAAAGCAAATGGGGCACAGAAAATCGACATTTTTATTCTCGACCGTCGAACCGATGCCATTCAATGCGATAGATCTTTTGTTACTGCTGATACTGTTACCGTGGTGTCGACCGGTATATGAACTTTGTGCAGCAGCATCGTCGTCAACGGAATTGCTGGCGCCAGCTGAAACATGAACACTGGACGATGGGTTGGCTTGTATTCGACTCGACGAATTATCGGGCTGGTTTTGATTTTGCTGCTGAAACATTGCGACCGACGATGATGATGACGATGCATTCAATCCACTCAACGTATTGTTGTTCGTTGCATTGGCTCCGCCACTGACATGAGGCGATGACTGGCGTCTTGACATCTTGTCGTTTTGTTAATCCCTTAACTCTTTCTCGATTTCCCCGTCTCTAACCTTAGAATTGTAAGCGTCTTAACGTAATCTAAGCTAATTGCCAATATGGATGGAATCAATTTAACCGTATTTTATATTTCTTCAAGTCTTTGCTTTAGTTTGTATTGGGTCGTGTGCCGTGTGATGATCTTGTATCGTCTTCCGGTCGAATTTCCACTGCTCAGATAATCTCAATGCCACAATTAAACTTGGTTGAAATGATTTTTTTCTTTTGCTACGTTTGCGTGTGTTTGGTTGCTTTGTTATGCTGCTATTTGTCACTCTCGTTTTTGCGGTCTCAATCACGGGCGCACAATCAAACTGGGGGAAGAGAACCTGAACGGATTTTGCTCTCTGTTAATCGTGCAATCTCGCTTTACAATTTGTTTCAATTGTGAATGCGTTTGGCTAGTCGATTAATCAAGATGGGTTGCGGAAATTCATATAGTTCTGAGTATATTGAGTGTGTGTGTGTGTGTGTTCTATCCTCTTTTGCTCACTCTCTATCTCTCGCTCTTGCTCTCTCTCACACACACCCCAACTACCTTTCTCACTTTTGCTCTCACTCTTTCTCAATGTGTGTGTGTCTGTATGGGTTTTAGTTTCGTTTTTTTTTCTGTTCAGTTTTTGTAGCTAACAATTAACTTATTTGCTTGTCTTGTTGCAAGTGATTTATCTGATTTTGTGTGGATTACGCATTTGAAATTAGTTCGAAGCGGACCTGAAACAAAAATGCCATATTTGAGCTGAGTTTGTACTGTTTCGGAATATTTGATTTTGGTTCAAAAAAATTTGGTTTTCAAAGTGTTATTTAAGAGAGAGAGAAAATTACATGGGATTTAATTCATGTAACTAAACTAAAATAGTAGGAAACTGCATTAAACAACAAATGAAGAAAAAAAAAGAGAGTCATTACTAAAAAAAAGAGTTGAATTTGTTTTTTTTTTTTTTTTTTTTTTAAGTGCTTCTATATACAGAAATGGGTTTGTTTTAGTTAAATTGGTGCAATGGTTACAAAATCAACCGGTTCGTTCGAGTTTACAGAGTTAATCAGCGAAATTGTATTAAAAAGTATGAGAATTGAAAGAAAGATAGAAAAAAAAACGAACGATCTCGCTGAGTGAGTCGATTCGGGGTATATTTACAAATGAAAAACATAAGGAATAATCAAAAGGAAAATAAAAGAAAAATCAAAGTGCATTTGAATAAGAATTGGGGAACAATCGGATGAGGTGTGTATGCGTGTCAGTGACATTGGCTGAGAGCAATCGAGAAAAAAAATTCGAGCGAGTGAGATGTAAAAACCGAATGAAAAACACTCCGGTATTTGGCTTTGTTCGAAAGAATCTATGCGAATCTATTTATCTTGAATCGAAAGCGGAAACATAAAACCCGATTGGTGAGAGTTAGCAAATCCTATCACATTTTCACAGCAACACATTTATTTTCTTGTCGTTAGTTTTTATATCCAAATGAATCACGCGCAGTTTCGTACCATTTTTTCTTCTATTCAAGTGAAAAATTAGCTCTGGCAAATATGTTTCAGATCCCAAAGAAAGGCTTTCATTTTAAATTTAACAAAAAAAAAAACAAGAGATGAAGTGAAATAAAACGCGTCTATTATTCTCATTTCAAAGATAAAATGAAGCTTTTAATTGCAAGAAGAACACAAAATAGTAAAGAGAGACAGAGACACTCCTACACAATAGACAATCAACGAAACGCACACACAAAACTTCTAAATGCAGGAAACAATGTATACGACACACATCATCGGCGGGGACGACGACGAAGACAATGACAATTTATTAAGGTTTTCATTTTTTGCACAAATACTAAACACAGATTAAAATGAGTGTATTCTCTTTTCTTGTTTGCATACGAAAAATATTTGTCAAATATCACCTTGATGTACTCTGATGTAAATTCATTCCATTTACTGTTTTTCCTAATCTAACAATCCATTCCAAAAGTAATTGGAACATTTAAATTATTCGACAAATATTCGTGACACTTTCGCGGAGGGCGAAATTTCAATTATTATTTAAAAATAAAATATTCTGCTATCGCACTGTGAATCATGTGTTTCGCATCGTTGTGGTCCGTATCGTTTGACGTCTGCATGTGTGTAATATATGTGTTTCGAAAGAAAACTGTGTTTTATTTTATTGACGAAAAATAATTAATTTGGTTTGTTTGCTTTTCATTACACTAAGCTTAAGCTGATTTTATTAGGTATTTGCTTGATTTTTTTTTTTTATTGGAATTTCACTGAAATCATTTTCATTTCTAAAATGGTGTGAATGGTCGTTATTGCAAACCGTAAAATTGCCAATAAAATGTACAATTTCCTTGATTGGGCAAATTATCACACAAAATTTCCAATCAAGTTATGCGATGCAACACGAGAGTGAGAAAAGTGAGCAGAAAAAAAAAATCCTATTTATGTACAATCCAATTATGAAATCAATTAGTAAACGATACAAAGTTCAATTGACGGTGCGAGAGCAAATCAAGAGTTTCAAGATGATGGTGTTGGAATTGTCGGCGGCAACGGTGGTTTGCTCATTACCCATTAGAAAGAAATTCAATATATTTGATAAGGTTCTAGATTACATTTATTATTACACATTTATCCATTGTTTGTCGTCATAATTTCAATTTGTTTCTCTTTTCAACGTCGCAACGATATTGACTACTATATTTCGCAAACGTTTTGTTGTTGTTGTTGTTGTTGTTGTACGTGCATTGGTGTGTCGATGGCGAAATTATGGTGTTTTTGTGAGATGTATGGACTAAAATGTGATCCAACACACGGTATATTAAATTTCACTTATCAAATATGTCTGTCGCTTTTTCACAACGCGTGAAACAATGTCTGTTCAATATTGTGCCAATTGATCTTGGTGTTCGTTTCAAGTGGCTCGTAAATTTCGAAGCAGATTATAATTCAAAATTGACTTGAGCAATTCGCGTACGCTTCCATTTCGTGCCTTTTTTTCTCCGAACATTTCTTTTTCACTTATGTTCTGTCTCCCCATATGTGTGTCGTCTATACCGCAAGAATTTTGTTTTTTTTTTTTGTTTGATATCGTTCATTTTTATGATGCAATGAAATCGGATCCAAATTGTTGTAAAATGAATGTCACACACAAATAACATGCTCAATTGATAAGATTGATAACATCGTGTGAAATGCGAGTGAACGAACAATGATGTAGCACTGAAGAGAATTAAATTAGCGTCAAAACATGTTACATGTTACAAATATTTGGATATAGGCAATATTTTGGGGGGGCAGAAAAGTCAGTCAAATATTCAGCAGTGCGACATTTGTATGTCGATTAAAAGCAAATTGCACGTACGTACAATTTGCCATATATTCTATCTATATCCAAAGAATCATTTTCGGAAGATTAGTGTGTTCGAGAATTTATACACACTGTAAGTCACATACATCGAATATGCGCGCTCATCATTATTTGAGCGATGGTTTTTTGTTTGGCGTGCGCGCACGCGCACACGCGATAACGCTCATTCACGACGAGACAGAACCAGAGTGGAAGACACAATGAGGATAAAAACAACAACAAGAAGAAAAAAAAAACGGTGCCATAAAAATGTGATAAGTTTTGTTTTTCCGTTTCGTTGTTTATTTTGATTCAAGTGCAAACGTATATCTCTTTCTCGAGACAAAAAGAGATATAACCCGTTTGTTATGCCAAAAATCTATACCGGCGTTATAACAGTGATACACAGATAGATTTACGTTCGCTCGGTAAAACACATATGTAAAAAACAAATTCAAAAAACTGAAACTTCTACGGCAACATATTGCTTTGATGGAAATTGTGAAATTGATAGTTTGGTTGTTGGTGCAAAATGTAAGGATTTTCGACAGGGTGGGTGGGGAGAGGAAGTATTGTGTGTGTGTGTGTGTTTTTGGTTTTTCGGAGTGAGCGAGAGTGAGCGTAAGTAGCAGTACAATGGGATCTAGTTATGGATTTAATATTTAAAATTGCATTAGAGAGCAGCATTCATGAGCTTAATGTGGCGAATGAAATTGATACGAAACCCACAAGAATGTGGAGCTTCTGAGGTCTTTGACATGCCGTCGCTAAGTTTCGAAATGTGTCGAATAATTGGAATTGCGAAAGCCGAAATTACACCGGTAATAGATACATAGATACATGTACGCAAACTCACACGTTCATCGTATGTTTGCCCCGTTTATTGAACGGTATCGTGGCGGTTGTTCAGCGTGTTATCAGGTCTGGTTTTGAATTATTGACTAGCGCCTCTCTTGTGACAATGTTATACATTGCTTAATCAGGCAATTCAATTGAAAATCGGTTGTAGTGAGTGAGTGATATAGTGTATAAATAACCGAAATGCGCTGGCTTCGCCCAATGGAATCGGGCGATTTTGCAAAGCGCTAAATTTTGTTCTGTTTTTATGTATTTCCCAGCGATAATAGTCGGCCAAGCGGTACTTGAAACATTGTTGTTTTTCAAGGAATAACGACAACGACGGACGAAAAAAAAAATTGTTGATTAAAATATGAACTGTAGACTGTCGATATGAGGCGAAAACAGAGAGGGGCGCGTGCATTATATTACTCTTGTCTTAGGTGACGAGGCACGCGCACACTGACACACAAAAAAAGAGAATAATTATGTGACAGAAAAGTATGCAAAAGCCTTTCTCGTCGGTGTCAAGCGATAACGCTTTTCTAATTAATCTTAAATTATTAAAGTTGTTCACCTTGCTTGTGTCTTACCCATCTCATAGCAAAATGGAAATGTGTCTGTCTCTCTCTCTATCTCTCTCTTTCTCTCTTTGTCTCTCTCTCTCTGTTTTTTTGCACATTGGCAAGCACATATTGTACTTGTGATTGCATTTGCATTTGCTATTTTCCTTTCACATTTTTCCGACTTTCGCTTGATTTGTGTGTGCACACGGCACGACGTGTGCCCCAGAGATGGCCCGAGCCATTTGTCTATTGCTTCGATGCAAAAAGATGTTTGCTAGCTGGAAATCACAACGGTGTTCGCTCACACATCGAATGAATGTCTGTGTGAATGTGGATGCACAGCAATTTCTAATTTAACATACAAATAATGTAACAAACAAGCGCCGACATGATAGTCTTGTCGCTTTTGCAAGATGACGTTTGGGCAATTTACCGTTCCAGAAGAGAGCCTATTTGAGAGCGTTAAAGATGATTTATTTCCATCATCTTCACATTGCAATTACTGTTAAGCTATTTTCACATTGGACGGAGCAGGTAAGAGAGAAAATTCCTGCGAGAAATTGTTACACACATGATGTGACGTTTGCTCGATGTATATCTGTATCTCTTTCTCCCTAGCACTTCTTTTCTGTTTATCTACCTCTTTCGATTCCCCTCATCTCTCTCTCTCTCTCTCTCTCTCTCTCTCTCTCCCTCTCTCACTCTTCCGCTGAATATAGGAACGTGCATAATTTATGGGCTTGTTGTTTTTGAGATGGGTACAAAAAAATCGAATTTCCTGCATCACAAATATATTATGTGATAAATATGAGCCTGCGTCGAAATTTACAGCTTTGTTTCACTATCAGAGTCGCAAATTTTTGGGCGCCCCAAACCGCTCGTTCGCTTAAAATTCCATCATCATTTGCATGACCATTTAAATTGAATGGATGACAAGCAATTTGGATTCAAATCCAAAAATTTGAATAGGATTAATTTTGAAAATAGATAAAGCGAAGAGCGCAAGAGAGACAGAGAGAAAAACACCGAAAATAAAAATGAAAATAATGTGCATCGGTTCAACGGTGTGAATAAAAACAGTGTATGGACATCGTGTGCAAGTGCCAGAAAATAGAAACAAAATGAATATAAGTCAGTCAGTCATGACGATGGATATGGCGTAGCAGCCAAAAATAAACGACAAATGAAACCAAGTGAAAATTAAATGGAAACCGTTGAATGTAAACAATGGGATCGTCGGGCGGGTTTTGTTTTGCTTGCTCTATACACAAAATGAGCGATTGTGGCCAACGTCAAACATCAATTCAATGCAATTTTAGGTATGAAATCTCTCGTTCTCTATTTATCTCACTCTCCCTCTTGTCTCATCGACATGGCCAAAATGCCTGAACACGCTCGTACACAAATCCATATTGTCCGCAGGAACGTTGCATTTCTGCTTTGATTATTCTCTTCTCGATGTGTGCAATGCACCGTTATAAGCAAAACTAATATACAGAAATTATTCATGCAATGCTGAGTGTGCATATCATTCTATCGAGAAAACGCACAAACTTTTGTTCTGCGTTCAGGGATATCGCAGGCGAAAAAAAGAACACACACACAGAGACATAGCAGAAACAACGAAACTCATCAAATGTTACAGTCCAAGTGTTTGTTGGTTGTGTTTTTTGTTTCGTTCACAACCCATCCTTGTCTGTGTGTCACTCGCTCTCGTTCTCTCTCTCTCTCTCTCTCTCTCAGACTACAAACACACAGCGCGCAAATTCTACATAAAATATGTAACACACAATCGACAGTAGTTTGAACTAGAGAGCTGAATAAATGCAAAACTACACTCGAAAAGGGCAACGGCAAATGAAATGACTTGTTGTTGTCCGTTTGTGCGAGTGAGAGGAAAAACGGTAAAAAAAAAATACGTGCCAATGCAATATCGGTGAATTATGGTTTGTGTTGTCTTCCGAGGGCAGTTTTGCATTTGTGCGTGCAATGAATACGAAGATGACGAACGGGGTGAAACGATGGCAATACTTACAGGTCAATCAATTGCAACAGCTGTCCGTTGGTTTGTGCATTGTATTTTTCGGCGGCTTTGGTGAGCTTATTTGATTTGGTTTTTTCATCTGAGTAAACACCCAATACGAGGCCACGAGACTGAAAATAGACAAAAAAGAGCGGAAAAAAATACGGAAAATTATTCAATCAGTCATTCGATAAAATTGATTCGATCAATAGAAAAAAAAAGAGAAGAAAAAGCAAAGAACGAATGAGAAAGAAAGAAAGTGATTCGGTTTGAATGACAGTCGACGACAAGTCTATGGCAATATTGATGTGCTAATCCTGTCGAGATAGTGATGAAGATGCCGTCGAAATCGATTTTATATTGAAAAATGTTCATCTGCAAATATGTCGATGCATTATGCAACTGATGCCGTTGCACGCATCAAATGAAACTGTCCACAATATTGAATTGTGCGTTGAACACCGGGATGCAATTTCTATAAATCGAAATACGTGCGTGGCGCAAAGCATTTGCCGTGCATTTAGCAGCGAAGAAAGTGCGATCCATTTATTGTGCGGTTTGTGTGTATGAAATGATGCAAACGGTGTCTTCGTGTGGAAACATTGTGTGCATAATTGGTATTCGATGTGATTCCGCGTTTGATGCATGCAAATTTTGTCATATTTGCTCGGAACAGAAGAAAAAGCAAGAGCAAAAAAAAAAAAAACGCAACACAACAAACAAAAATCAAAAAATCTGCTTTCACATTCACAAGCAGGTACACATGATTTCGTTAGCTCTTTTTTTGGTGTGTGCTATTTGCGTAGCAGTAGAGCAACCGAGCAACCACGCGGGCTATCATATTTTGCGCGCGCGAGCTCTCGAAATTACGTTCAATTTTGAAATGACGTGAATTCAAAGGAATTTTTTTTTTTTTCAACTTTTTGAAAGAAGATTGGAATCAAGCACGAAGAAGAGTTAGGGCATGCCATATCTTCACACAACAAAACGATACGTACGAACGAGCGAACGGGGAAAAAAATAAATAAGAATTGAAAATGAAATGAGGCTGAGCTTCTGCACAGAGAGTAGAAATAAAATGAGATTCAATGGAAATGGATGTTGTTACCCAGTACAGCCACTTCCTATCATCGGAACGCTGCACGGTCAATGCACAACATTACGAGCAAAAGAGATAGAGAAAGAGTGAGCGAAAAATACCGTACGAACGCAGGCATATAATAGCACACACGATATCAACTTATCTCCGAACACCACTGCATCAAACACACGGCATTTTTTTTTTTTTTTTAATTTCGAATACACCGAAAATTTTAATTTTTTTTTCTGCAAGAGAATTCTCTTTACAAATACTCAACATATTTATCTTTTGGAAGGAAACCAGATGAACTGTTGTTTGAATGGAAAGTAAATGAAATGCAGATGTTTTTCATTTCTCGGTCAAATTTAATAGCATTTGTAAATTTGGCTCACGGTTTCTGCGTTCGCACTCTCAATTTAAACCGTAGCATTTTTTCTCTATCTCTCTCTCTCTCTTCTGTCCTACTGCCGCGGCTGTGGCTACTGTGGCTGATGTTTCGATACGACAGGAAATTTCCAAGAAATTACTATCGAATTCGGACCATTTTTTTCTTCTTCAAATTTTGACTCAACACAAACATAAACAACAATCAAACGAAATCCGAAAGAAAAAAAAATAAAATGTTATCGTAAATGACACACCGAAGAAGGAGACGAAAATTTTCGAACAAATTTTACATGTGCCGAACAAAATGAAATGAAATGAAATCAAACCGAGCACAGAGAAGAAAAAAACAAAAAAAAGGTCGCAAAACAAATGAGTAAATTTTCGTTTTCGTTGTGATTTTACTTACATCCGTCATTGAACTAAACAATCTATTGCGATACACTACACTCGAATATTTAAATGCGAATGATCGAAATATGGCCATAATCTCACTGTTTTATATGAAGTTTACTACGACACATAAGCTACCGAAGAGTGTATGGAGATGCCAACACAGTCACACACAAACACACACAGTGCGCTCGAATCGAATCGAGAGAGAGATGTGTGTATGTGCTTGTGTTTGTACGAGTTGGAGAGCGAGAGAAGTGTGCGTTTTTTTTTTCGGAACGAATCGACAAACGTAATGTTGGTACAGCAGCACGTCGACGGCAAGAATGATGATGTTGTTCAGGTTTCTTTTCAAGAAGAAGAAGAAGAAGAACCGAAGCAATGATTGAAAAGTAGTTTTGTGTGGTACCAAATGTTGTGTACAGTTGTCGCTACTAGAAAGTAAAGAGACGAACACAAAAAAAAAAAAAGAAACGTAACAAATTTGAGTATAAAAAAAAAAAACTATATGCCATCACATGAATAATTTATTGATATTAATGCAGTGGATTTTCTGTTTACTTTTTTGTCAATGCGATTGATGTCGCAACTTAACAATGATATTCGCATTCGAACAAGGAAATTCGGCGTTTCCGTGAATTATTTCAACTGTTGACGAATTATTCGGATTTTTCCAAAGAATTACGTTCTTTTCTCGCACTCTCAAATGAATTCAACTAAAAACTAGTACTAATCACACAGAAATCATATGCAAAAAGCGGCTCTCAATTTGTATTTGTTGCAATGATTTTGTAACAAATTACCGCACACACAAAGAAAAATCAAATCAAATAATTGGGAATTGGTACCGTTTTCTATGCCGAAACACTCTTCGCTTAGAGGCACTCAATTTAGAAGTATTATTCTAGTTTTTATGAACATTAACCGAAGATTCAAATCACTTTGACGAAATTAGTGCCAAAAGTTATGAAACATATGAAATGTTGCACTTGAACAATGAACATGGTGTCGAATCGGTTCGGCAGTAACATGACAACAACCAATACACCAACACAACGTGGTACTGTCACATGATGACACTTTGTACAGACGCGTGTGTGTGTGTGTGTGTGTGTGTATGTGATGAGCTGTGTTCGACGAACTGTCAGTCAGTCAGTTGTGTATGTGTGTTGATATTTGACGACGATGTAGGGCTGTACATTGTACAATGTCCATCCCATGTTTTTTTTTCTCGTTGCATTGGAACGATTTTAACGGAATGAATTTGAACTGACGACCAAAGAAAAAATGATGCATCCAACCGTAAGAAAATGTGTCAAGGACGTTGCATATCCCTATTGAAATGTACATGGAATGTAATCTGAATGCTATTTCCTCGTATTTTACCAAATCAGATGAAACATGTCACTATTTTGAGATAATATACCCATACCTCTTTAGGCCTGCAATAATTCATTTAAAAAAAGAACCAATTTTCTCATATACATGTTTTTTTTAGTAGAGGCGCATATTTTTATTTTTCAAATATATCATTTCTATACAGAAAACATACTAATTTCTCATCATATCTAACTAACAACAACAAATGAACGTATTTATTTTTGTTTTGGATTTTTAACCGTACATAATCATATTTTTTTTTCTCCAAATATTTGTTTATATCTTTACCAATTTTTTTTTTTACATAGATCATAATATATAAGCATTTTGGCAAAAAAAAAATCTCGCTATATCTTTTGCGTGACTCTTTCAAAATGGTGTCGATTTGTCTTCTTTTCGTTTTAAGTTTTTGTTTTTTTTTTTATCAGTTCAGGTTATTTAAAAAAACACACACATAGTAAACATATATATATATAGGTCAGTTTGTGATTCGTGAAAGACTGATACGAGAGAATGTTAAATTGATTTTGTTTAGTGATTAATTACATTTAAACTAACATTTTTTTTGTCAATTGTTCCTCATTTTCATTTTGAAATTTAAGCGATTCTTCTTGTCCAACGTTATTGTTCAATGACATGAATGCATATCGTTTGCTAGCTCTAAAATTCGTCATCTTAACCATTCTTAAACCTTATAATTCGTTTATTTTTCTTCTATACGTATGATTATCGCGAAAAAAAAAAGCTCTTCATGTTTCAACTTGCAAAAATTTTGGTAGTTATTGACTTTTGGCCGTTGATTATTGTTTGTTCATTTTTGTTGCGCAAGCACATGTTACTTATTTAAATGCCTGGCTCGCTCGTTTCTCCCATTCTGCTTTACGTTCCAAGATCCCCTTGTACTCTTTCTCCTTGTGATCGATGTCTTGTGATGAATTGTTCGCATCTGCGCTGTTATTCGACACGGTTCCAGTGGTTTTTGTGGAATTTACATTGGTTGTTGTCATGGTGTCTTCATTTGAATTTCTTTGATTCATCGATGACTGAATTTGACCGATTTTATTCGAAATGATTGGTGTGGTATTTTTGGTGAAATTGTTATTGTATGAATTTGAATTGAATTTGCTATTATTCACATTTTCATTGTTGTTGCCTTGATTTTTTTCGATAATCAGCACAACGCCATTATCTTGCGGAGCCGGTGCTGCATCTTTTTGATTGCGCGCCGCTGGATTGTTTGGACTATTGTGGAGATTTTCAAAAAAAGCCGTCGAATTGCGATAATTATTGCTGGGCGCGGTATTCGATGGATTCGATGAGAATCGATTTGCCGTTGCACCGTTGAATAATTTCCCGATACTTTTCACCGATGTCATGTCCACGTTATTTTTTATCGATGCATCCTTTTTGGGCGATGCATCACCACTTTTATCATTCGTCGGTTTAATGTAAATCTCCACCTTTGGTATGCTGCTTTGTGCACCGCTTGATACATTATTTTCTTTATCACTGTCTGTATTAAATCGGTTGCTATTCTTTGCATTATTGATTCGGTTCATATTGTTGTTTGTATCATTGTTTGCACCGCCGCCGCCACCACTGTCGTTCATCTTCTGATTGAGTAATTCACGTTCAGCGTCATCGTGCACTTGGTATTCGTCGGTGTCTTTGATTTTAAGCGAACGTCGGGCAAACACTTTCATCAGTTCAGGCGTTGGATCTGCGGATTCCGATGATTTGGCCGATTTTTTGCCACGCAACACCACCGTCGAACTATTGTCATCTTCAAGTGACAATTTTCGAGGAGTGACACCTTTGTCCGCACCAATGATCGATGAACGCTTCACTTCCGCTTGAATTTTCTCGATTTGCTGTTCGAATTTGAGCTTTTTGTCGGAAACTGATTTGCGACGCTCAATCACCAAATGTCCTTCATTGTCATCATCCAAGTCCAAATCCAAACAATCATCCGAACTATGGTTATCACTGATGATTGACGTTTTATTCAGATCCGATGTGGAACTACCACGGGATAATTGCTGGCTACCAATCGATGAACGAGACTGATGACCAAAACCGCTCTTCAACGACTCCGACGACTTGTTGAGATTCGAATTGAACGCATTCATCGACGATGAGCTAATGGCTGTGGAAATGAAACGCAATTTTCATTAGACATTCCGACAAAATGCGAATTTATTCAAAAATTTTTTTACCTTTCTTTTTGTCGCTAATTTCAATGCTCTCGTTACTGAATCGCCGCTCTTTATCCTCTTCATTTGGTCCACTTGATGCCTAAGTCATTGACAAATGAAATGAAGTTCACATCAATGAAAATTTAAAAAAAAATGTGCATTAAAAGTGATATTGTTATTGAAAAAAAAAGAAGAAGATAAAAACCAACCGTAGCATTATTGTTGTTGCTCGCAACTGCGCTCGACACAATGGTTGACGAATATTCGATACAGCTTTTGGGTCGGCTGGCATCGACGCGATTCAGTTGGATTTGCATGAATTCCGGAATATCCGAGATGATTTTCTTTGGTGGTGATGACGATGGCACCTGAAGATCGAGTTTCGTGGCGGTGGTCGAGTGTCGGAGCAACGGTGGATTTTCAACCGTTGCCACATTCAGCCCATTACTTTCGTGATCATCCTTTGTAATTGTCGTCAACGACACATTGCCATTGTTCGTTTTGATTTGATACAGTTCAGCGGTGGGTGATTTTTTCAACACGGTCACCACCGATGACTTCATGATTTTATCAATGTTATCTTCGATTTCGTTGATATTCGTATTTTGAATTGAGTGATGTGTTTTCGATGATGCGACTGATTGCAAAAGGTTTGGATTTTGATCGGCGGGCATCAAGTGTGTGTCATCCTTTTCGATATCGTACGATGCGATTTCGTCGGATGTGTTGAGCGTTGAATAGAGTTTCGATGTTGGAATCAAATTCATGTCGTTAATTTCGAATCGATTATTGCTGTAACGTTGCTCCGAAATGCGCGATGATGAGCTACTCCGTGTGGGCGTCCATTTTGCGTTTGCATTGGCGTTTGCATTCGCATTCAAATTGTTGCCGCTGTTGTTCAAATAGCGCAGTGATTGCAGATTCTCACGATTCGATGAGTAGCGCGATGGTCGTGCCAGTGGGCTTCGGTTCGATGCATTCAAATCCGGCAAACTTGGGCATAACGATGGTTTGCTACTTTCGTTACGTGTTTGTGCGGTCGTTTCATTGTTAAAATTCTTCGTATACAAGCGAAAACTTTTCGATTTCTCCACCATTTTCCCCTTTGTTTGCGATGATGATTTGATTTGGTGCTGTTGCTGCTGATCGCCGCTCAATTTTGAGATCTTCTGTTGGCATTGACCCCAGCCGTAACCATTGCGAGACACATTTTGCGGGAATTTATTCTCACTTGGCCAAACGCTTTTCGGCAACGATACCGAATACGGAGCCGGTGTATCTTCGTCAACGTCATTGAATGCATTCGGATCAGATACGGTGGCCGTGTTCAGCATCTCTTCCGATCGATGGTGCGATGTGCGTACAAAACTATCACTTTCATCATCACATTGGCTTTGGATCGATTTGGTTGGCGAAAAGCGCAAATAACTGGTGGCAAACTCTTTGCGCGTCGAATGTGGCGATAGTTTTTGTGGTGAATGCGTTTCAATCGGATCGGTTTTTTCTATGTCCATTATTTCTTTTGTGTATCGTTGACGTGATATCGGGCCCGATCGTAGTTTATCATTTTTCATTACCAATGATTTTGGACTCTTGTTGATTTCATTGCTTGGTAAATACGATGATTTCGCACCGATTGGCATATCATTAGCGCGTACATTGGATAAAACATTTATTATCGATAGTTCGGCACTCTTTTTTATAGCCGGCGTTGATGTTTCCATCTTTTTGCTCGTCTTATTCACATCCAGAGTATCGGTGTCAACAGCTGTGCTCGTTTCACGTTCCTTTTTCTGCTTACGGCCACTGCGATTGATGAAACGCCGAAAGAATCCTTCTTCTGAATGTGTTCGCTCTTCACGTTTCGAATCCAATGTTCTTGTGTCCGTCTTGGTAATCGACGGCAAAACACTCTTATTCGAGTCGCTAACATCCTTTTGGTCTCGGCCATCAAATCCACTTGTATACAATGTCTTGCCGAATCTGGATTTCGTTTGCTTGTTCAACGTTGTGGAAACATTTGAATGCTTTTCAATGGTTTTGCTCGTTGTTATGCTGGTCACTCCACGTGGCAACGATTGTGATTTGTTTACTGCAAATGAAATGACAATTTATTTTAAAATATTCAGCCAAAAAAATCAGAAAATTGAAAATTGAATTTGTGAAATAAATTGGACATTTACCATATGACTCAATGACATTGGATGATTTCAAGAAATCCTCATTGACTTCGGGCATTGAAGGCAGAGCATTCGATGTCTATGAAGAAATACAAATTTGGTTATTTTATCTTCAAAAGTATGAAAAAAAAAAACATTTAACGAATCTTCCACCAAATAAAAAAAGAGCTCTTACGTCAGTTGGTTTCCTTGGCGGTCTCGATGGGCCCTTTTTCTTTGGTCGAATAGCCATTTTGTGTTTGGCAGCTGAATGACTGAGCCGGGTGTCCGAGTCTCGGCTTGAGTTCAATGAAATTTCAGGTGGGAATATGTCATCATGTTTACCAATTTCATACGATGATTTGCTGGTCGAGAGAAAACTCGACGACTCCATGGAATCATCATAAATTTCCGAACTGGCCATGCTCAGCAAACCCAATGAACTGTGATGCTGATGGCGTCCAACATTGTTCGTGCTATTCATTTGACCGTCGACCACATGATGACTGCCATTACGTGGTGGTGTCGATGGGCTTCTTGGCAAACCTAAATCCTCGTCCGACGCATCCGATCGACTTTTGCGTTTTCGTAATGCATCGGCCAGTTCAGCCTATGTAGAAGAGAGAGAAAAAAAAACAAACAAACAAAAACCCGCATAAATGAATTGAAACCAGCTATGATTTTATTTACGAAATGTGGAATTCTAATATGGTTCATTCCATAGAAATGATTTCGAAAACACAAATATCAGCCGTAGTTAACAATTTTGAGCATGTTGTATGCGATCAACGACCACGATAAACAGTTAAAGAAAGAAAGAAAAAAAAACGCTAAACGAAGAAAAAAGAAATCAGAATGAGAAGCGTGACCAGTAGCAAATCGGTTGAATAACATCAAGTTTTCGGCGTCTACTTATTATGGTGTGTGCGTGCGTGTGTTTGTGAGTGTCCATTAAAAAATTGAAACAATGAACGCATTTCGACCCGAATATTTTCATATCATTTGTGTTGTTGTTACAAAACGGCCATTAACGCGGTTTGGTTTAGTTTAGTTGTGAAGTTGAGAGATGTACGTGTTGAAATATTCATTACATGACAGTTTCGACAATTAGCTGCGAGTAATTATGTTTGTAAATGATTTCTATTCATAATTGTAAAATGTTCCTTCCGAAATTTCTCCAAGCCCAAAAATGGATATGGTCGCCGTAGCGCAATGGAACGCATTTCAAAAGAGAATACACTGCAATGAAGAGGGAGAGAAAGAGAGAGGCAGAGACACAGAGAGAAAATGCGCACAACATGGAAAATATAAAACGAGAATTGTGTAAAATGGTCTATCAAAAAACCTGTCTCCGAGTGCAATTTAAGCGACGATGAATCTCTATTGCTTGATGCGAATCACACACCAATTTCACAAACAATTCAACAGTTTTGTGTGCGGAACCGACGACGACGACGACACAGAAACAGAAACATTCATAATGCGAGCAATAAAAATGCCTCACGTGCATTCAGTTTTGTGAATAGTTTTCCAGCGACTTTGATCACATCACCATGCAAGAATACATTGTGTATGTGTGTGCAGAAAAAGAAGGAACTGGTTTTGATTTACTTAGAAATCGAAAGAAAGAATGAAAAAAAAAAAAAATAGCAGAACAAGAGTCTCTTTTAAGAGCTTGTTACGGGTTTTTAAGAATGATTTGCCGTGCAGTTTGTAAGTGCGCGCAATGGCCAAAGTCAACTCAGTCGTTTGGCTGTGAGAAGAAGAATTTAAGCGGAAATAATAAATTTTTCACTTGGTCTCACTCGCTCTCTCTCTTCGTCTCTTTCTCTCCCCTTTCTCACTTGGCCTCACTCGATTATTCGCTCATTCTGATATGGTTAATGTTGTTGCATCAGAGAGCATTCGGTCGTTTAATACACTTCGTCGACTGAACATGAAGTGCATGCCCTCGTTTGCTGGCTCACAGACTCTTGTACTTGTACTTGATGCTCGCTTCGCAATCTTCTGTTCAGCATCATCTCATGTGAACTTTGATGAAACGCAATTCTACACGAATACGTACATTGGCATCGAGCCACAGCCACAGCCGACGCTCACACGCATACGACATTTGATACGGGTGCAAGATTTCCAGGAATATTTAATAATTCTTTTATTCATTTGAACGAAAAATGTGCAAGAGGCGGTTTTGAGCCATCGAATAGTTCAAGTCTGACCGAATTCGCGTGGACTGACTGAAAGTGAGTTATGTATGTGAGTGGAAAATCAAGTGCGTGTATGACTTTCCGGAATGTTTGCATTGAAATTCCTCGGGAAGTTGAATTCAATAATTTGCACTTTAATGCACACATTTTATCTGCATCTTTTGAAAGAATTCAACCTTTGTTGCGCAAAGGCTCTCCATCTCTCTCTTTCTCTCGTTCCCTTCTGTGTGTGAATCGATGCATTTCTGGGAATGAAGCTATTTTTCAAGTTTGACAAAGAACTTGCCAAGTGTTTGATGAGCTGCTCGTTTTCGATAAGGCAGTAAATAAAGATAAATTGGTGCTTTCTTCGGAATTTGACCGCATGATTTCGTGAACAAATGTCGAAAATGGGGTATCTTATCTGAATTTATCATTCGTCTGCCCCTTCTCCTCCTCCTCCTCTACCTCATATTTAACCTCACATTAATTTATTGTGTCGATGAAATCTGATGCATGAAATCAGCGTCATGTCAGCCTCTGGTTTCCGTATATTCAAGCACAAAAGTACACTTGGAAAAAACAATGATGATGATATAGGGAAAAAACATACGCATCGTTTGAAAAACGAAAAAAAAAAACTCAAATGCACGCACGAAACATGCAATCGTCGTTTACATACATGTTTACATTCTTTGTCGTCCATTTGTAATGGTGCCTGCTTTATGTCGTATCCGTTGAGCTGATTATTACTTTAAATTAGATATGAACATCCGATACATTTTTTTTCCTCTTCTTCATCGTCGCTCAATTTTATTTTAAAGTGTCGATGCTTTCAAATGGAAAGTTTTGTTTCTCTCTCGTTTGGGCTGCAACCGTATCAACTCATATGTAGATCCGTTTTTATTTTGCAAGAGCAACAGGAAAAAAGTCTACGCCGTTTTTTTTTCTTCCTCTGTCGTTCAATTGAGAAAGCAAGTATAATTGAGTCACCCAAACAAAGATCATGCTAATAAAAGCGTTTGAAAATGAATTTCGCTGTTCAAGCACGGATCAAATGTTGAGTTCATATCTGCTGCTCACCACAGTTTTTTTTTTTATTCCTTGTTTGGCAATAAATAAATTGTGATTTTCGATTCAAATAAAAAGATGCGACAAAAGTGCGATGAACGATGTGCGGTGTTTGTCGCATATCTCGCTCTGTCGCTCTCGCTTCCACTCTCTAAATAATTTTATATTTGTCGAGCCGAAAACTCAACCCGCGACCATTATTATAAATCATGAAATTTGTTTTCACCATAAATGGTGTGGCATTTTTTTTGGAATCGCCTCCTTCTTTTGTTTATACTATATACGAGTTCGCGACTGCGAGTGATTCATTTTGTGTCGGCCAACGCAACAGGCGTCTAAATTTAATACAACAACACTGAAGTATATACACACGAAAATCGAATGGCCCAAAAATTGATTTTGCGTATCGACGAAATAGCGACGATGAACATACGAAACATGTCGGGAAAGAAATCTCTGGTCGGTCATAAAAAGAAAAGAAGAGCGGCTACAAAAATAGCAAAGCATGCATTAAAAATAAAATAAAAAAAGAAGCATAGTAATATACAAACTAGACACATCAGAGCGGTGATGGCCACAACGACATTCAGCACATCACTTGATTGCCAGTTGCGCGGTTTTAACACACAACAGCAGAGAGAGAGAGAGAGAGAGAGAGAGAGAGAGAGAGAGAGAGAGAGAGAGAGAGAGAGAGAGAGAGAGAGAGAGAGAAACCAATGGCACTATTGTTGGAACGGCGGTAAACGCACAACAATCGTATATGGCGCATGAGCCAAAAGAAGGAACGAACAAAATTGACCGAATCTGAGTGAACAAGAGAGAGAGACGAAGCGAAAAGTAAAACCTCAGCCATAGAGGTACACACACACACACACACACACATAATTAACATTACCGTTATAAATTCCCCATTTTTGGGCAATAATTGCCAAAAGTATGTGTGTATAAGCTTTTAAATATTGCTTATTGCTTATTATGAATGTAGATTTTAGTCAGTTATTGTTTTTTTTTCGGTTTTCATATGTAATTCGTGTGTTTCACTTTAAAGCATTTTCCAATTGCGTTTGACTATTTCAAAACGCGCGCCTGTTTTAATCATTAACCATCAATTAGTACAGAAGTCATGGCAAAAATAGCTGCACTGATGGTGGCGATACCGCTGCTGCTGCTGCTGCCTCGTAATAATGACAACTGCCGCAGGTCGTTGGTAGTCATTCAATTTTCGCATTTGAAATTGCAAATTGTTTTTATTATTACACGCAAATGTTTTTTTTCTCTCGCAAATTTGTATTTTGTCTAAAAATTGATGTAACTATCGTCGTTTTGGGGTATCTTGAGCACTAAATTTCAATGAAGCGCTTGATGAGTTTGCTTACCAAGAGTGTCATTTCAATTGAATTTAATCACACACATTTGACTCGTGCCCAGAACAATGCTAACCGTTAAATAATAGTTTACGCACCACACTCTGTCGATTGATTTTATTAACTTCGGTCGAACGTTGAACTGGAACTTCATTGAGGAATACGAGGAATTCAACATTCCACTGTGGCAGTGTCAGTTTGTTTTGGCTCAGCTGTTGCACCATAGAAACAAAATGACATATGTGCACGGCACATGAGTATATGTGTGTACGGAAAAATTCGTGCCTTTGAGATAGATTGAGTCGTACGCGTGTTTGTGTGTGTGTAGACACAGCACAAAAGAGTAATTTTGGATGGAAACAAAGGCATTGACAATAATGCATTGTATGCGAAGCGAACCGAACACAACACACAGAGTATGTACATATATGGGCCACAAGTCACAACAGCTCAAACAATAAACCAATCAAAAATGTAATCACATTTTGTTGGCTGTTTGAACGAAACAGTGTCTCGATTTCAAACGATGGATATTATGCTATGGTTTTTTTTTTTTGGAAACACACTTTTCAAAGCGATTAGGACAAGTTGATTATTTTGACCGGAATTCGCTCTGAGGCAATGGTCCGAAAAAAAATTATGAAAATATTGTTGAAAAGACCGATAAAGACATTCACGAACCGCATAGAGACCGTTACAGCCCAGAGTGAAACTTTGATTTTTTTTCCCCTCTAAAATGTCTTGAATCACCATGAAATGAAACGAGGCTCAAGATGGAAATTGGTTTTTTTTTTTTGATGGACGGACGGACGTCGGACGGCTAACAAAAATCCAAACAATCATAAATTCGAATCGATATCGATGAATGTGAAAAGTGATTGAATTGATCCGAGGAAATTGAATGCATCGAAATGTCAATCAAAATATAGCAACCGGCTTCAAGCAATTACCTAATGCAATATTAAACGATTTTCCATTTAAATGTTTGAATAAACACACATTAATTGCAACAAACACATATATACGTGGTGGTGATGGTGGTGGGCCTTTGTATATTTGATTGCTTTTTTTCCTTAATTTCGATGTGAATGAACCGACAATTCGCCACTGTATTAGAAATAATAGATGATATATTTCGGAATAGAATGGAAAATTGGTGTGTACAACGCGCACCTCATAGTGAAATTATTGTGTCATCAAACTTCATTAATTCAATTATTCATTCGATTTTCCTTTCGCTCGCGCACTCTCTCTCTCTCTGTGTGTGTCTCTCTCTCTCGGTCAACGCCATATTCGATTGTAATCGGTTATCGCTTTTAGTGCTTCAGCCGACATCGTGTCATCGTCGTAATCACTGCGAGGGCGCAAAATTCATTACGGTGAAATATAGCGATCGATGCTAAATAAATTCAAGTCAATATTATCAGGTTACTTGTACCGACTTGTGTTTCTCTCTCTCTCTCTCTCTCTCTCTCTCTCTCTCTCTCTCTCTCTCTTATTACCGTCGAAAATTGAAGCGTATTGAACGAATTGAGTAACATCGATCGAAATCGAAATGAGAACACCAAATCCTTTCGATAAAAACAGTTGGATTTCATTCGGTTCAAATGAAACTATTTTTGGTACCGTTTATTCGTCGGTGCGACGATGGCGGCATTGGGTCGAAATTCCGATTGGCTAGAATGGCACTGATTGAATGTCGATTGTACATTTGTCGTCGTCGTTGTTGTAATTGTCGCCGTTGCGCATATACAACATACACATGCACAATTGCTTTTTCCTTCTTCATCAAATCATTTTGTAATTGCCAAGTGTTTCGATGACAACGACAACGAAACAAAACAATTAAATCGTAGCCCTCTTTTACTTGATCAACTCTCAAGCAAATGAATTATGATGCAGCTGCCGACGACGATTGTAGTTTATGCTATGTTGAGAATGTGAATATTGCCTCTCGTTCTCTCCTTCTCTCTAACTCTGTTGCGAAAATTGCGCAATTCAACCCGATCTAGCTTATTGTCGCTGTTGCTGCTGCTGGTGCTTCTGAATAGTTCAAAACGAAGTGAGAGATGTTAGCTGAAGGCGCATACATGTTACAACAACAAACAACCACACTGTGCGAGTATAATTGCGATTCATTAACGATGATTTGTATACAAATCGTGATTTATATTAATTGTGGACATTGATTTATTCGACGATATGAATCGATTCGAGCGATGCTTTTGGGAGAAGCAAGAGAGACAAGAAAAAAAACACCGAAGCAGAAGAAGGAAAAAAAAACATATCTCGTCATGGAGAAGCACGAATCACACAACCAGCATTCGCTATGCTACAGCCGCAAAGAGTCGTAAATAAAATTCTTTGTGCACACGGAAACGATTGATTCGAAAGATATATAACTTGGCGTTGAGTTATTTTCAATGCAAAACAAAAACAAAACACAACTTTTTCCGAATGAATAACAACAGCCGTCTTATTTTTGCAGCTTGTGAATATGCCATAGATGGGCTAATCAGTAGTTTTAGCAAACGACTAGCAGATTAAGCGGGAAGATGAAAGCAAAAAAGAAACTACAATATTTTCGCTTTTCCAAGCAGACTCACAATAATTGCAAGTGGAGGAGACGATGGCACTAGATCATCCATGAAATCGATCATCTTCTTCACACTAGAATCGGTACGACGTTGACTTGATTTTGCCAACAAAAAAAAAAAATCAAGTTTGGTTCAAGGCTCCTCCAAATTGAGCTCCTCGAATTCACTGAGTTTGCCCCACAGCAATCACACACATTCAGTGGCACTTTGCTTTTGGGCCACACAGAACAGAACCACAAGAGAAAAAAAAATTCACTCGCGCGCGACAATTACCACTAAAAAAAAAATATCAACAGTTTAGTATAGATTAAATAAATATCAACAGTTTGGTGAGTTTGGTTTTTCTTCTTTTCGATATCATCAACTAAATTCCAAGCACACGCAAAACAAACGAACGGTCGCGCGCGCGATTTGAATCGATACAGCGTCCGAACGCAACTGAAATAAAGAGTGAAACACTCTCGATGTCAACGTGTGTCTCTATTTGTTGCTATTTACGTTGTTTTCCTCTATATGCTATGATCGCACACATTTGACGGCCATGCATGTATGTGTATGTCGTCGTTGCCGTCGTTGTTGTCGAACGGTTGTGTGTTTAGCCATCAGATTGTATGTTCCGTCGTACTTGCGACCGCATCATTTTTATTCAAATTCTGTATGTGTTTTTTTGTTTTCATATATATTTCGTATGTTTTCCATTATTTTGGTTTTGTTGTATGTTTTCGTTGTTATTTCGCTCTTTTTTCATATAGGCAATTTTTGTTTACGTTCAATTTTCCTTTCTTCTACTTGGCCTACGTTTTGTTGCAACGCTGCTACTGTATGTGTGTTTATATATGTGTATTTAATTCTTGTTTTGTTCATCCAGTTCTTGTTGGGTTGTTCGCGTCATTTATCTCTTTATTTGTTTCGAGCGAATGTGTTCATGTACGACGACGACGACGACGACGACGATGGCGGAAAAATAATGTGTGTGCAATGTAAATTGTACAACATATTTATTCTTTTGAAATGGCCTCTCGCTCCGACTCACTTTTTATCACACTTGATCTGGTCGCTCTTTTTCACTCCGATGAGCATCTGCACTCTCTCAGATGGTTGACAGCCAGTGTTATGCTCTTTCGGTGTGTCGGTAGTATTGCCGTTTTATTTTTCTGTTTTGTTGTTGTTGCTGCTGTTTTTTCGTTCACTTCTTTTGTATTCAACGTTGGTAAAAAGCAACAGACAGACACACAGTTTGAATTTAAATATGCGTACGAGTTACGTCGTAGATTTATAACTGGAATAAGTATCAATTAAAAGTGCAACAATGAAAACCGTAACTCTTGAGAGGCCTACGAACCGACGGACCGACCCAAAGATAGAGACAGCAATGATACTCTTTTTGCTCTGTCATTTAACCTTGTACGTGGCTGTATACTGAAGAAAGAAAGAAAAAAGCCATAGTGCAGAGCAGCCGTGCGAACGGTTGCAACGTCTTTCTATTTTAAAAGCATTCAATTGAAAGATGGCCATTTCATTGCATTAGAAGATAAAAAAAAAAAACACTTTTCCAAACGAGAGAAAAAAAAGAAAGAAATAAAAGCCGGGAGAAAGAGTGAGTCGTTTCGTTTTCGAGCGAAATTTTATGGAGAATCATTTAAGCCGAACAAATAACATCCACCTCATGTTTTCTTCATAATGTTTCCGATACTTGAACGAACATTTTTTCATTTCGATAGAAATGGTTTTTTTTTTTTGCACTTCATTGATCTTGCCCTCACAGATTATAAAAGAAGAAATGCGACAAGTAAAAGGCGCTTTAAAATGCACGTATGCGAATGAAGGTGCACAAAAGGGGTCAGTATTTATTGCCCACATCCAAAACTGGGAATATTTTCTACTCAAACAGTTCGGCGTTTATGCTGTGTATTGAATACACCATTTTCAGTTTATGACGTCAATCAAATGACTAATGCACCGATTACTATATACGTGAATATCGAATGTTTGTTGCGAATTGTGCACACATTTTCTTTGCGAAGAAAAAAATCAAAAGACGAGAAAACAATGCAGCAACAGCAACAACAACGAGAGACAAGGAATGAAGAAGAGAGACAAAACGAAAGAAAACAGCATTGAATGGCATGATAATTGCCATCGATGCTAGCTTGTTTCTCCTGTCATTTTACTGCACCACATTATATGCATCATATACTCTCTTTTTTATGCCAAACAAACCGGAAAATCTAAGGCTGAATGGCAAATCGAACGAGAATAGCTTTTATGACTGCATATTATCATACGGTTAGTGCAAAAGCATTTATTGTCCTACCTAACGCGAGCGCTATCTGTTCGGTTTGAACATGAAAACAAACAAATTGATCCATACAGAGTTATAATACAACAACATCTCTATATAGAGGAAACGCTGTGGTTCGTTTTGTTCGGCATACTTTTTATACACTTCCTTCATTTCCACCGATTCATATATCGGTTGGCAGCTGGAGTCAATTTGTTTGTGTTCATGTTCGCACCGAATAGATGGCGTTTGCGTTACGGAGAGCAATAAATGCGTTTGCACTAAAGGTATGCATATTATACTCCATTGCACACACACAAACACAAACATGTCGTGACATTTTCCAAAAGACCTTTTTCAATGAAAGTATTTTCAGTTTTCGTTTGTTTTTATCGTTTTATCGCATGATTAGAACCGGATCAACGCAAAATACGACGATGGGACCACTAAAAGTGAATCGGCACAGAAAAAAAAAAAACACAAGAAAACTTGTTCTGCGAATAGTCGCGAGACCATACACACTGCTTCACTCACAGATGACTCAAGACAAAACCGATTAACTCATGAATTTAGGCATACTCACACACCGAATGACATCACACATCGATGACATTTTACTATCGCATCAAAAACAATGTACAACATTGTCAATATCTTAATCAAACGTCGTCATTCCGTTTGCTCTTTCGTACAGGAACATAAACAACAACAACATGGATTTATCACTGTTTACACCAAAGTGATTGGCTCGTCAAATTTTCGCACGAGATTCACACAGGTCGACATTTGTTCTATTTTTAAATGGTAAGAAGGCTTGAGTGCACGCAAGCTATCGATTGAAAAGCGATTTGTATTGATTTTTGTTCGGTTTGGTGCATTGCAAATGTCATACACAATTTTTGACCACTTGTTCAACCGATACATTGACATGATAGTGAAGGCTTGTTTTGTCCAATAGTAAAAAGCTTCGCCAAAATTTCAATAAATACTTTTCGCGCGAGATTTGTACGCGTCTGATAAGGTAAGTGACATTGGTCAGAACATTTCTCGCCAGCACACACATTTCGATTTATAGAATAATGGACTTATGAGATTGTGAAAAGATAAGAGTTTGAAACAAGATATAACCGCATAAAACCTGCAATTCATTTGTAGTGAAAGGCGTCAAAGAGGAAGGCGTTGTTGGTATTTCGAGGGAAAATTATCGGTTTGCACTTTGGACAAAATTATCAGTTCGATAAAGGAAACACGGAAAAAAGCACACAGCGTTGACATTTACCAAAACACAACCACGTGACATTAATTTGGGCTAATGACCGATTGAGAGAGAGAGAGTGTGTGTGTGTGCGTTCAATGCATTGCGAAGTGTTTGCAAAATGAAATAGAGGAAAAGTATGTGTGATTCAGTGCACAAATCGATTAAATGCCATTACAACAACGACAGCAACGGGCAGCGGCAACAAAAAAGTGACAGTCAAAGCATTACCAAAGACTCTGAATACAATTTCCATCTGATAATGCTTTCATTGTCTCTCTGCCGACAATGAATTCAACTTGTCTGAATGTATTTTTCCTCATTGGAAATGGTGTGTGTGTGTGTGTTCACGGTGCAAAAACACGCTTTGCACTTTTGCCAACAGTAAAAAGTGATGAAGGCGAAAAATAATATGTACAGCTGAGATAATATGAATAAAGCACAGCACGACTATAGCTTACTAATTCATATATTCTGTGTACAATGATGTCATTTTCGCTGGAGCGGAATATTTTCAGCAGTTTGCTCCGAGCGCGTTCGTTTCTCTCGCTGTGCAGGCACATGCCAAGATGCACTCAAGTTGTCATTTCATTTGGAAATGAACACAGAATGAATATCTTGTTTAGTGTCAGGTTTTATGCAAAGATTTTGGAACGTAATGTGGCGGATGAGCGTTGAACGCTTGGTTGAGCAGCATTTGCATTTGATTTTCATGTCAGTTAGACTAGTTTTGATGACACAAATCCGCGCACAAACGAGCAATGTCTGATTTGAAAATGGCTCTCAGAATTGCTAAACGATTTATGAGCAGCAGCAGCAACAATAGCAACGGGGTAGAAAAAAAAAGTGATGAAAATTGCACTTTTTGACATATAATTCCGCTTATTGATTGCAAAGCGGCAATTTTCGCATATTATTCCCTCGCCGCGGAACGTACGCAAATTAACATAGAAAAGCACATAGTCAATTTTCAGTAAGTAATCACGATCATCTTCAGTAAATTATGTTGTGAAATTTGGTGTGTTTATTTGCGTAACGCGTGCGATAATTTGCATTTGTAGCACGTTGATAATTTGTGTGTTTGAGTTTTCCGATGCAAAAATTATACACAATAAAAATGAGTGAACGGACGAGCAAGCAAGATGGAGAGCAGCGAAAGAGAGAGAGAGAGAGAGAGAGAGACGGAGGAAATGAGCGGCAGCACGGCCACCAAAACGCGAATAATATAAAACAAATACACAATGGTTTTGCGCAGAGCAATGCACATCACAACAAAGCCGAGACATCGAGTGCGAGATATGCTGTTGTTGTTTTTTTTTATTCGCGCGATCCGTGTGACGCTCGTTTGCCGTGTGCTCGCGCGATGATGATGTTAATGATTATGATTTGTGATTGTTGTTCGCTTTCATTGTCTTCATTTCCATTACCATTTCCATTTTCATTTCCATTTGCGATGATGATTGCAAATGCATTTTTCCTCTTCAGCTAGCCTGCCTTTGCCTTTGCCATTGCCATTGTGTAATTGCGGCAGAAAATATAGGCAGCAAGTGAAGTAATCAAGTAGGAAGTATTTTAATTTCTACTGGATGTGTGTGAATAGGTCGATACGTGTTTCTTTTTTCTAGCTTTAGCGTGTTCGAATGTTTGCGCACGTTTTTCACTTTCAGCGTGAAAATAACAGCCTCGACGGTGCGGTGCGGTGTGGTGTGGTGTGGCTTTGTTTCGGTTTGTATTTTTGCGGCAAATGCTGTGTATACGGTAAGTGCCTCATATTTAGATATTGTATCGCACATTTCTTTACTTATTACTTTCGATGAAGTTGATTTTATTTTTTCTTCTTCTCCCTATGCCTTGCACAAGCAAACGGATAAGAAAATATAATGAGATCCATATTACGGCCATTTTTTACGCTGTAGATATTACAATTGATACTTTACGCACTCACGTCTGATTTATGACGTTCATAATTTGCCAAGAGATCAGATTGAGATTGGTAAAATGTTACGATGCGTACGACGATGACCGAGACGACAAAGTCTACGATGACGACGGTTTCGAAATACGATGAAAATGATGTAGAAAAGAAAATTTGAGAAAGAGAAGAAAAAAAAAACACCGCTATTTGTTCACCTTCGGCGTGTACAAGATTAATTTGTGTGAAGAAAGAAAAAAAAACGACGAAGCGCAGATATATTATTTCCGAATCGAGGTACCACTCGTGAAATTACAATCACCCGGTGATTAATTCAGCATATGTTTCCACACACTACTGCCTATTCGAAACACACCATACGATACATAATGTAATTGATTGAAGGAAATAATTTTGTTTTTCTCCTGTACAACAGCGGATCTTATCGCAGTCTCAACATGTGTGTGTGTGTACTTGCGAACTTTCTATCGTGCTGGTGAATCGTCTCTCGTGCAATTTTGCATACGAGATTTTCATAAGTCAGCCGAGTTGAGTTAAAACGAGTCATTGCTCAGCTTCACGTAGTCAGAGCAAATACTAGTAGCACTTTTTGTTTGAGGAAATGAAATGGTACAACAGCAGCAGCAGCAGTTGCAGTAGCACCCAAGGAAGTCCGAAGAGAAAATATGCGCTGAAATGCGCACAATCTCCTCACGACCGTATTCATGATAAAGTGCCAACGTCGATCAAAAGACATTGGGCCTCTTCCACTTTGCCAAATGGTTCGAGCAGTATATTGTTGGGCGAAATGAAAGATTGATCTTGACGATCATTATTTCGCATTACGTGATCAAACGTATCACTGCATTTGGCCAAAGGCAGGCTTCGTTTCATGAAACACGTTTTATCAACCACAAAGCCATTCATTCTGCATAATTGTATGCAATTAATCGCTCGCCTTGTTGGCGCTCGAACCATTCACCGCGAATCTATACGCGCAAGTACCCGAGCCGCCTTACGCTATCGAATGTCTAACGACGCCAATTTTCAAAATCGTAAACAAGTATTCAATGCTTGGGCTCGCACATGATGAACCGTCAAGTGTACAAGAACTCACTCATGTCATTGATGACATACTCTGCTTACTTACTGAAACAACAACACCACATGCACACACCACGATTCATAGCCGTCGTCGTTTATTTTCGCATGAATGGAAAACTGTGTTTGTTGTGTGTATATATGTCATTCGTCATCGAAAGGAAAAATTAAAAAAAAAACACACATCGTTTGAAAGTTCTGCGGTATTTTTTCCCCTTGTATCGTCGACGACCTCTCTTTCACACCTTCTGTGTCTTTTACTCGGATTTCCATGAAATCATGTACACTAATTATTATTTTGGCATTTATTTATGCGTGTTTTTTTTTCTTCTATGCTTCGCTTGTTAATAAATTCAAGAATAAATTTCTGCATGCAATGTGCCATTCACCGCGAACGAAACAAAAGTCAATCGAAAACTTTTTCGTTGCAATTTTTTTAAAATTTAATACTGTTTTTATTGATGACATTTTGCGTGAAATCTACTGGGAAAAAAATGCATGATATGTAAATAAAATATATATATATAAAAAACACCCACCTTCAATACGATGGACAGACTGCTTGCAGTTGCTGATTCAGAAAATACACTGTCGTGCGAGTGTGACAATGTTTCACGGCTGAAATCACTGTGGAACGAAATGAAAAAAAAAAACACACATATCAAATTGAAAACAAAAACAAATACCCAATTACACATTCACATTGATTTGAAACTAAGACAGCCTGTCACCAGACACCTTAATTGCTAATGAGTTTTTTTTTGGTACGAAGGCGACACAATTCACACACTCATGCCGATCACTAAACCGATTCTTATTTGATGCAAACTTTCTTGGCCATTTCAACACTTTCCCCGTCGATGTCATTTAATTGTTAACCATTTTTGTTTTGTTTCGGTTCGGTTCGGCTTCTTTGGATCAATTCGTAAAATTTATATTTACATCATCAAAAAAAATTTCATATCCGGGACCGAGTACCAGTTGTTTATGTGTTTTGACGACCGATTTTCGAAGCATTAATGTGGGAAGATTGAAAATGAAATGGCATAAAATAAACAATCGAAATTGCGACTATAAATATTGCAGACATGAGTGTGTGGGCAGAGAACCAAATTGCAGAATGATTGACGAAAGATCTTCAGAGTTCACACCACAAAGAGGAGAAGAAGAAGAAGAAGAAGAAGAAGAAGAAGAAAAAAATCTTGTCTCTCATTTGTCTGACGTAAATCTAATTGATTCCGTTGAATTACCTTCCTATTTTTTTCAATTGTTTATTGGGAAATAAACGAGAAACAAATTAGTTTTTCGTAGCTTTCACACCTCCGATGAACCGAAAATTGAGATTTGTTGCCGCCAAAGGAAGTTGCTTGGATAGTATCTCGGCTATTTCTAGAGTTTATGGTTTTAATTCATGGGTCGCAGTTGAAATAATGTTTGTATCGAACGCTTTATGGTTCTGATTCAGTCAGCGGTCAACGGTCGGCGAAAATATGAATGACCAGTGCCATTCGGAAAAAGGAAAAAAACAATCAATTGTCGTTTGGTTGTCAAGAAGAGAAACGCGAGTAAATGAAAGCATATACTTCAATTGTTGCTGATTTTGTTTCATTTATTCCAAACAATAATTGCCTTATCTGATTATTTATGTGGCCATTTGTGTTTCGTCGTAGTTACAATTTTAATGTCGAACAAATGAAAAAAAAAAATACTGGTTTTCCTCGTCCCGATAACGCCGTCCCATGTGAATAGTATTCAGCTTCACTTTTGATTTCATTGGGACGTTCACAGAGAGCTTTCGAGCCGCATTTGCAAAATGTCTAACTCATGAAATAAACCGTGAATTGGCCATTGGTTTCAGTTTAAGTAGGTGCGCGAGCGAGCGCTCACGCATACCTGAAAGTGGCTCTTGTTTCGTTGGCATACACGCAAACATGCGCGCGCTCGAATTGGAGAGCACATCGAATTAATAATGATGCGATGAGAATGGGACTCTGCACAATTTTATGATCTCTCGAAATTCGTTTTTCGATAAAAATGTGAGTGTTGTGTGTGTGCATTGATTGGTAATTTATGACCGGTCGAGGAAATGAAATTTATTGGATTTAACTTACTTGTCGAGTAGACGGCCTTCGCTCAAGCTACGTTGATAGTCAATCATTTCTCTGGTCAAATCGCTATCGGTTTCTGTATCCAAATCCATGACACCGCCGCCACCGGCACCACCGGAATGAATCAAACGTTTGCCAGCTCCGTCTTTAGCGTAGTAATATGCTCGTTTTGTAGCAGCCAACAGGTTGGATTGATTTGCCGATCGAATCAAATGTGATGATTGAAAATCGGACAAATCGTCGGGCAATACATCATCGTCGATTGATTGAGCACTTAGCGAACGAATTGTTGATACGTTCGTCAAATCGCCTGGGTACTGTTGATGCCCGCCTGCCCCAAACGTATCGAACAAGAAAAATTGGATGATAAAATATGTATTTCCAAGTTTTTCGATTAAATTGCACACACACTAACATTTCAAGTGTGTGTGCGTGTGTATGTACCAGGTAATTTATGATGCAATCACAAAACAGATACAAAATAAAATGCCTTTCGAAAGAGAGAAAAAAAAATGGTGCATTTTATTGGGTAATTTACCTTCGTTTTGATGGTAGTAGTTTTGATGTTGTTGCACGATCGGCCGAATGGCATCGGCATGAGCCAATGTGCGTCTACGGAAAATTCGACGCAAATTGCGCAAGGGATGAAAACGACGACGTCGCTTGTGACTTTCTGCAAAATTTATGTTTATGTCGCCGGGAAACGAGAAAAACACACAGTAAGAAAATTTCTTGTTATATTCCTATTCGAACATCAAAGTTTTCTGACGATTTTACACACACATACACACATTCGAGGCTTAGGCTAAAATAATTGAACTCGATTTTCCTCGCCTGACGATCTTATCGACGCAACAGTATAAATCTAACTAAATGCTTGAATCGAACGAAAAGTTTTCGTTTTCGCACAAGCCCAGATATGCAACTTTGTCGTATCTTCGAGAATTGTTTGTGTTGGTTAGTTGGATGGCTGTGTTTGGTTTCACTATCTTTTTCCATTTGAAAGGCGCGCTTATATACACACACAAATACCAAATGCCTTCAAATGACAACGATGACGGCTACGGCGGCGGCGACAACAACCGAGTTGTGTGCTTTCGACACAAACCGAATCATAGGCATCTAGCTAAGCTGGCAAGAAAGCGCGCTCACCCACAAAACTAGTTCGATTTAGCATACATGAGGAACGACGAATCAAAAACACAAAACAAACATATGAACCGTTCAGAAGTGGATACATTAGGATGAAGAATGAACGAAACGAAGAAAAAAAAAACGAAAACACTATTGAGTGGATGTAAAGAGCGAAATGAAGGCAAGTGTTCTTTGATATATGCCACCAACCACAATAACAACAATAATCACCGCATTTTGCCATACATTTGTTTCAAAAACTGCAAACAAAGTGGCCGATTTCTTATTATTATTTTTTTCGCTCTCGTTTCAATAACAAGACACCCAAACTAATGTTACCTACGACACTTTTTGTCCAGCTAAATGTCGAATTTGTTTGTTTTGTTCAATTTGATTCGATGTATTGTCGAGTGTCCACTTGCGTCTTGCACTCAATTGGTTTCTTCTGGTTTACAGAATTGTCACACACACACACACACACACAAGTTTCATTCGATTTGCGTAAAATGTGATTTCATTCACAAAATGTGGTCGGAGGACTATGTTTCAATCTTTCTTTCGGCTTAAACAATGAATTAAAACAAGCAGCAAAGAACCAGCACACGCACCACATACGACAAACTAGATTCGTGTAATGTTTCTATTTTACTGTATATTATTATGACAACCGTTGACGACACAAAACGACGTCGTTGTCGTTGTTTCTTGAACTAAAACTTTACTTTAGTTTCGAGTACACAATACTAGAATTCAAACGGTTCATATCTCTCCGAATAGCTGGCTGCCTCTTACACTCTCTATCTCTCTGTCTATGTGTGTGTGTGTGTGTGTGTCTGTATTTGTCGACGGTTTTGATTTGATTTTTCTACGCAATACTTATATTGTTGCGTTTATTTGTCGCGCTTTCGGTTCACCATACAATACATACACTCAATTTGCGATATTGTGATTTATTCTAAATTGGAGCGTGTACTGTCAGCCCAGAGACCTAACATCAAACTAAAATATCGCGCATTCAAAGCGATTTCGACAATGGAAACTATATTTAAGCCATCAAGTATATGGCGGTTTCGCAATGTTGGCGTGAGTGCGAGCGCAAATACGGCTCGTTCACTTGATTGCTCGCACACACGCTCCACATACGCACTTGACTCGCATTTTCAATCACGTGTGTACAATTTTTTGTTGTTGCTCTTTTTGCGTTGTTGTTATTGTGTTCGACAAATTGAAAATCACCTACGAATCGGTGAATTTGGAATGGAGCATTTTGGTATGAAGGTATTTGCTTTGGTGCAAGTTTGTGTGGCACTTATGGCATCGAAGTCATGAACTGAATCTGCCAAATGTATTGTTTCTACAACGCCGAAATTGCGCGTACACACACTGTGCGCTCGTCGGGCTATTGCTGAATAAAATCGAAACAAAAAAGAAGTAATAATCAACTCGTGCGATGAGTTGCAAAACGGCAGCTCAGCTTGCAAATTTGTGGTCAATTGTGCGGTAATTGTTATATGTTTATTATGACTTCTATTTTTGACGTCGAAAAAACCAATTTCACTTTCATTAAAGACTTCAAAATAAGACTAAAATGAGTTGAAACAGAAAAAAAATAAAACACAGCGCGTTGAAACAAGAAACCTGCGTTCGTTATGAAATGCATGCAAATTTTTTTTCTGCACTTGCGAAATATTCAGCAGACAGTTGCTTCATTGCACTTTTTAATAACGCGTATGTGTGTGTTTGTGTGCGCGCGCTACGATGTGCTAATGATCAATTTCATTTACAAAGATAAATTATTGATAACAAATACACACATCGACCATGTGGCTAACGGATTGGATAACGTCTAAAGCCATAGTTGAAAATATTCGGTCATTTAATCAGTTACGTATTGCCAAATGAATAAGTTCGAATGAATCGTTTAGTCTTTTATGTTCGCCGAAGCTTGCCGCCTTCTCGATTACGGTTTGCCGAAGCTCACCAACTCTGGATTATCGAGTCGAATCCGAGCCGATAGCGATTACAATTCGCTCGACATGTTTTGTGTCAGAGATGCCGTTTCAATATCTTGTGACGCGCAATTCGATATCTTTTAACGAGCGCTCACATCTTTTCCATTTGTTTTTTTTTCTCCTTTTAAGGGATCGAATAAGCTGGGCTTTTCTATTCGTTTCGTTTTTGTTACCTGTTATTGAGCATTTCCGCGCCGTATTGAGCAT